GCTACCACTAACACTTCTATGCTTATGCAAGTGCAAAAAATGCACCTGAACAAGTTTGGGCTGGGCCTGTGCCATGGGATAATACATTACCCCCCCCCAAAGGAGAGCAGAGCTTAATGGACATAAACAACAAATAAAATATACAGTTTTTTTTAAGTGCGGTTCTTTCAATAGCTTCTCCACTGTGTTTCCTGCTTAGTCATCTGATGTCACCCTAATTGGATGTTGTTCTAATTTTGATTATTTCCACTATGTTAAAGTTGGTCATTGTAAATCTGTAGCTAATTTAAACCTTCTTTTTCAGTAGAGTTTGGGACAGACTGAAAATTTACAGTAATCATTAATGGCCTTTTGTTTCATTCCACAGATTAGCACAGGAAGAGGAAAAATGGACACATTTAACAGGTATTTATATTCCTTCTAGCTAAATATCAGCATATTTTTGTCCCTGTTCACTATATATAGAATGTCACTTGTGTTATGAGTAATTGCTTCCCGGGACAAAGTGCCATTAATGGAGCAGGAGACAGCTATCAGAGATCTACCCCAAGATGGGCCTGAGACAAGAGATGGTTTGGGGTGAAGCTGGTGGCTTGGTCTGGAACAATCTATGGGTCCTTTGTCTTGGGAAAAGCTGCAGCATCCGGGCCAGAATCAGGGTCAGACGAGAGGCATTTACAAGCCCCGATGCTCCAAGTCTTCAGGAAAAAAAACGCCGCGGTCCATTCTTCCTCACTGAGCTGTTTCTACACGTCATGGGTTACCTGCAGCAGGAATAAATAAAAAATTATGAAATAAAGTGCACAAGTGACTTGTACCGGCAGGCTAAGTGATAAATATACTGATAGTGGATGGCAGGTTTCTAAAACAAAAGAGTTTAAAATAATTTTATATATATTTTTTTTGCCACAGATATCTCAGTATGCTACAAAGCTTTTGTACAGATCATATGTCAGGGATGACTAACAGCAAACCAACAAATACAGGAACAAGTTCAGGGTGGGTTAGGGTCACACTGGTTCTCAGATTTCTCTGCTATATACTGTGTGTTTGTGTGTGTGTGTCTCACAATGTAATAAAAACCTCTTATTTTGCCATCATGGGGACCATTTTTCAGGTCCCCACAAAGATATGTGAATGCAATCAAAAAATTTAAAATGCCAAAATACAAGAATTTTGTTTGGTTACTCATGGTTAAGGTTAGGGCTGGGTAGGGGTTAAGGTCATCCTGTTGGGATTAGAGTTTTCCTCATAGAAATGACTGGAGAGTCCACACAAAGATATAATTACAAACCTGTGTGTGTGTGTATGTATGTATGTATGTGTGTGTGTATATATATATATATATATATATATATATATATATATATATAACGATAACGGCTGAAGGCACTAATGTCCATGAGAAAGTGAAGTAATGGCTCAGTGATGATGGCGAATCACTCCTTTGGGGGACTTCAATATACTGCAATATACAGTACTTGTGTTTATATGATAAATAATAAATAATATTGTATGTAATGGTTATCTGATAGCTGATGAAGGAAGCATGGCCTTCTAAAATATAAATATGCAAATTGGCAAATCAATAATACATTTTGAACTCTAAACCTGGGGGGTGGGTGGATAATGACTGGTATATAAATATTTGTGGTCTTCTAAGATTTCACACACATTGCACAATATCACAAAATGTATGTAAATGAAAAGCTACTGGGCAAGATCTGGAGTTTCTAGACCTTTAAGATATTTTTGTCACTGCAAATCGTGTACGTTAAAAGCTATTGATCATGTGAATTTATGTTAACCGTGGAATATTTCTTTTGCAGCATACTTCAAAACTGAGGAAACTCCTAGGAAAAGGTTTTCGGAGATAGACTCAAGATGGATCACCAAGATAAATGACCCTGTGAAATGAGCACTCATGAATGTATAAACAGGCAGGTACGAAACTGCGGCTCATGGCGGTCATGTGACTTCCTGTGAGGGAAAGGGCTGTTTTTAAAGGGCTCTGTCCTGAGCAGCATACAGGCTCTGCCCAGCGATACGCAGTAGCCAATCATATTGCTGATTCAGCATCGCCCAAGGCTGTGTAGAAACAGCACTCCAGTGAAAACCAGCATCCCTCTTTCTTTTTTCTGCTCCCGGCCCTGGCTGGCCTCCAGCTCCTGCCTGTGATAGGCCTGTGTTTCTCCAGCCGTTTGTCCGTTTCCTTCTGGATGTCTGGTTGAGTCTGGTTCTGTCTGGGATGCCGTAACCCTGGGGTCACAAGCATATGATTATATTTGTCTGGGAAAAGGTTCGTATCAGAAAAAAATAGCACTATCAGGAAAGAGCCCTATGCACAAATGATCTACTCTGTGATCAAGAGGTCATCTCATATGATTTTCACTCTTTGGCTCTGCTGTCCCGATGGTATTATTGTAATGTAGGAATCAGTGGCATCATTCACACTCTCTGACAAGGAAGGTCACAAGCTCAAAGAAGCACAATCTGATTTAGGATCAATTCTGACAGACCTGTCTGAATGAAGAAAACCTGGGTGAGGAACGTGCTTCAAAATGACAGACACTGACATCTAAAGCCTCAGAGAAGAACTACAACTATTGGAACCATTTGAGGAGGTTTTGGAAAACCAAAGGGGCATCATACAGCGGGTCCTCTTTTACTTTACAGTTTTCCAGTTTTGATGCAAAGGACATGCCGAAGTGCAGGAGAAACCATTGAATAATTAACAGACATTTGAAGTTGTTGGAAGAACCTTCAAAGACCATTCAGATCCACATGTCGTGGAGTTGTCGAAGCCAACTATTTCGATGCTGTGTTTCTGAAAAAACTGATGGCATCCCTTTAGCTTGAACAAATACAGTGTAACACTACCCCCCCCCGGCCAGGAGTGATCGAAGCCCGCGTGACTCCCTGGACAAGCTTCACTGTTGGTACCCCCCACCCGAGACAAAGTGAGTCGCTGCCCCCTTAGAAGATGGCTCCCTAGGCCTGGCCTGCCTGTGTCGCCTAATGGGTTGACTGGTATTTCCCCCACCCCATTCTCACATGTGATAATGATACCTTTGGCTCTGAGCACTTTTCCTCATCACCTAGGGCTTCTAGCAACCAACCTTTAGCTAAAGGAACGCTTTAGAGAGCTTTGCAGCAAGAGCATAGCTTTGGATCCAGCATTGGTAGGGACCAGATCAGACCTGAACCCCCCCCACTCCCCTAAAAACACAAAGTACTACCACAACATTGGTAAGGACACGCCCGTACTGTCCATACCCAAATCTACGTTTCTGCCTTGCAGTAAACGCTGAAGACAGGCCTGATCTGCCCTCCTGCGTGAAGGATTTACAGCCATAATACATTGTCAGGCCTCTGGTTATCATCCATTATCATTTACAGCAAAATGTCCACCATTATACCATCATACGGCACAGAGAAATACAACTTGTTTATCTTTCATCAGATTTGATATTCCTGTATTATAATAGGTCGGTCGTAGCATAAAGACATGTATCCAGTCACTTTCACATTTGGTGCTGGTTAGTGATGGCCAAACGAAGCCTCATGATCCATTTCTTGTATTTTCTGATCCCACTGGATGGGGCTCTTGGCTTACTTGGTGCCATTTTTTGAACAGAGAGCGCCATCTAGTGGGGTCAGAAAATACAGCACATGGTTCATGGGGCTTCATTTGGCCATCACTATTGTTGATGTTAGTTGTACTCTGTTTACAGTGTCACTTGAGGCTATTAGACTATTTAGAAGGGACACAGAGCCGTGGATTTCAAACCACCATTAGCTAGTGATTTTCATTTCACTGTCTGTGACATTTTTCAGTGGAGCCTGTAGTAGACTTTGATTTTATAATCTCCTGAACCATAATACCCAACTGTAATAATGGCCCATGCCAGAATGCCAATATATGAATAATAAGGATTTTATACTGACAGTTTAATAGTCCATGTTATCATTTCTGGCCATGTTAAACATCTGCAGCTTCATGCACAGAATGAACCAGGCTCAGCTGAAGATCTCTGCTTGTTATTAATAATAATAATATAATCTTTATTTATTTAGCAATTTTCATATATGGAATGCAGCTCAAAGTGCTTCACATATGAGATTAAAATAAAACCAAAGACAGAGAAGCAACTAACATACAGGTCAAAGAAATTATAGAAAGATGGAATAAGTCTTTAAAATAAATGAGAGTAAATAACCAAATAAAATATAAAAGAATGAAAAGAGTAAAGTCGTAAAAATATAAGCTAGTAAAAATTGGAAATGATGTATTTTATTGTTATAAAAACAAAACGGCGAGAAAAAAATAACATATAGTAAAAGAATAAAATCAAATAATACCACAATGATATAGTGATGGACAGCTTGTATGAGCAGGTTAACATTCCTCCCAGTGCCCTCAGTGACTGGGTCCGACTCCCTGTGACCACACTGCGCTGTGTGGGGACACAGCATCACGCCCGGAGCGTCCCTCAGCCTTGGGCCCGGTGCAGCCTGGGATAGGCTCCGGACTCCCGTTGATGCTACACAGGTTCAATTATACATGCAAAATCCTGGATAATTCTCCATAATAAATGAATAAGTTTGGATTCACTGGGTCATGGATTCCTCTGGTTAAGACTCAACTGGCTGGTTGAAACAAAATCTTGCTCTGGATTTGTACTCTCTGAACCTGAACCTTCCACCTCTGGGAACGTCTCACTGGAGTATTTCCACCAGTGTCCGGGAGATTAAAGGAACACCCTGCGCTTGTTTGCATTTCCATTTTCCATCACAAATACAACATGGACACGCACAGATGGTGCTCCTTAACATTAGCATGTTTTGCAGTTGCGCCAGCAGCTGATCGGGGCGAGTAGCTGCAATATGAATAAATCATAATATGACAAGCTGAATGGTTGAGGGAGGGGGGGGGGCTTCTGCATTATAGAGACTTCATGGATAAGGCATAAGCTTGATTTTCAAGACGCAGACCTATCTCTGGTAGACCCAGAAGAAGAGTCTAATTGGCAGGTTGGTATCACAGCAGATCTCATTTTGCCCCAGTCCTTTGTACATCATTTGCTTTTAAACATGGTGTCTTGATGTTCCGGGATCAACATGGCAGGACGACAGGGAGCCTGGTGTCTATTCCAGGATGCATCGGGCACATACTGTCCGTTACACTATCACACCATCATATTTGGGCTTTGGGAACAAACTGGAGGACACTTACAGAGAGCCAACCACACATACACGCACACAGAACTGGGGTAACAAACGCACAACCCTGTATGTGTGAGGTTAGTGTTACCCATCTTGTATGTGATATTATCTGGCTACACAAGACATTTGTGTGTTAATTAAACTTTACAGACAGTTATCTGTAAAACTGTGGGGAAAAAAGTATAATAATGATGATTTCACAATTGCACATATCATCTGTCACCAAATGTTCCATAAAAGGCTTGAAGGATAATAGTTAAGTTAAATAATCATCGTATATACATACGAATGACATCAAAACAAAAGAAATGAACTGGCTCGCTATTCACTGTGCATCTGAGTCTATGTTCGAATGCAGTGTTCTTCACTCATGACTTAAACTAATACAAGGTTACATTTTGGGCGATGTAAATACTGCAGCAACACCGCAGACAATGAAAATGTTTTGGGTAGATGCTGCACTCCCATATTTCACCACTAGGTGGTAAGGTTGCACAACAGAAGTCCGGTACAGCTTTGCGATGAGACTGTCCCTCTTTCAAACACCAACAGCACTGATACATCTCTGCTTCGTTGGTTTATTGGTTATATTCAGTAAAACCACATTGGATGTTGATGCTGATGCCAAATGTCTCTGTGTGTACCTGCCCGCTGGTAATACGAGCAGCACTTCCCAACATTTCTTAGTCAGTATATTTCTGGTTTTATCCTGAACTAGATGGTTTGCTACCATTTCCATGGTTTAAAAAAAAATGTTTCCAGTGGCTGACGGTGGAAAATTATGCCTCACACTATAAACATAGAATCCTTCCTTGTGGTTTAATAGAACATAATTAGCACTAATCTAAATTCCAGAGTGCAAATTTAGCTAAATGAATCCAACAGGACTGCTAATCACTGAGACAAAATGGCCCACTGTTGTTTTTGTTTCAATCAAGCAACTTATCAGTGTGTCCCATGTTTATGCGGATTGAGCTGCTGTGTTTACTATTGGTGTCAAGCTCAGTTTGGGATCAACACATTCCTGGAGGAAGCAAGTCTGATACGGGGTGGATACTCACTGTCCAACATACTAATGTGCCAGTTAATCACATAAGTGCTCTGGGCTGACTCAAATAGCTTGTGACCTACAAAGAGCCCTAGAGAAAATGGAGCAAAAATAGAATATTTTTAAATAAAACCCTTAGGCTACTTTTAGCACTGCAGATGCAACTTCCTACAAGGGTGGTTCCCTGTAGTAATTAAGGAGGAGGGATAATGTGGAGACCAGGTTAGCCTATTACCCCATGTCTAAATGGAGAGTCAAAGTGGTCTTTAACACATGACCTTCCCAATAAAGAACCTCAGCAATCCAAATGATCCTACAAAGAAAATGGACCCACCGGTTGACAATTCAAGGTTGCATGATCAGTTCAGTGGGTGTTAAGTTGTACATCTAAGATGTGGGTATAGATAACAGTTCCAAAACCCACTTTTGTAAGGCAAAGACCACACCCCGCTAGTGATACCATCACTTTTTTAATTACCCATGGTTTGCTGCTACATTCCTCTGACACGCCCTTGCTCAGGTCCTCAAGAGGTTCTTGAGTAAAAGGTTTTGTCTCCGATATCAAGTGTAACCTTTGTCAACTTCTTCCATTCTTCTCTGAGGTGGTGGCTGGTTCAAGGCCTGGTAGCTTTCACTGGATCCCCGGAAAGAAAAAGTTGTCCTTCCCCCCCCATTCATCGCCAGAATTCTTAGCCCAATTGTCTGCCGGCCTTGCCCAGGGAGCCCCTCCCTGGTCCCTCTATGAGCCGGACATGTGCCTCTGATTATAACCGGCGGCCCTTCCGCATCTGGTTCCATTTAGAGCAGGTGAAACAATGTAGAAAACAGATCCGTCATCCAGTGCATTCCTGAGGCTAGCGAAGACGGTGCTAAATCATGGCAGGCTAATCCTCTAGGTTGGGATGTAGGGGTGGGGGGCTATAGGGTGGGTTGCCAGTCCCGCCACCTATCACCGAGGGACTGCATCAATGCTTTCAGAACACTTTAAAGCACCACTGGAGCTCGAGCTGACCCGACTGTGGCCTCCATACCGTTATAATCATAACACTTACTGTTGTTTCCATTCCTGCCGCAGTTCCTGTTATGGCCATGGCCTACAAATTCAAAGGGGTATACCCATTCTGGCCTCATCTATAAGCTATTCAGGTATTTCTGCTAAAATCAGTGCAAGGAAGTTCATCTGATATAGGCTGACAGTAGTATGCAGTAGGGATACAAACTCAAGAGCCTCATAGACCTTCTTCATAAGATGAACTCTTCTCTTTCAGCTAACAAGAGATTATTTCGGCCAATAGTTTCAAATTCCTTCCGAATTTAGGTCAAACAAAAAATACGGATAGGTTAACCTTTCCTGACAGTAGACAATATCGCACAGCTTCAAAAACAAACTGTGGGAAGATGTTTGTGATTGCCTGGAGGAAAGGACGTGGTAAACTCTGCCGACGCACATGATCGCAATCAATGAGTGCACAAGTTTAAACTAAGGGATTCCTGGAGAGGCGAAACAATGAATTTCTGATTATTTTTTTGCATTGCCCTTTACTTCCTATGTAAAGTTTCTCTTCTCCCCATGCAATGATGATTACTGCCCCAAAACAGTTTGAGTCGCTAACCTTTTCCGTATGTCGGAGAAGGGGGTGAAGTACCAAGATAAACGAAGATAGTTTAAAGTAATTTCAGGAAACTCCTGCCAAAGCAGGCAGAATTTGTTGCTAATAGGTGGCCACCATCTTTCCTGCAGTTAGCTAGTTACCCCCCTGGCTTTCCAGAGTGTGCACTGGTTTTTCTGTATTTATGTGAAACAGGAGACTGAGGAAAACATTAATTTGCTTGCACGGTCTGTTCTCTTCTGAAATGAATGAACCTGAGGAATGCGGTCCATTTCCAAAGCATGACCTGAAACCATTCGCATTAGTCATCCTCAGCCTGGTGTCCTGGTGACTAGCCGTTTCTTTCATTTCCATAACAGCTGCGCAACAAAAGCGCCCGAAAAAGCAAACTAAACAAATGCAACCAAAATTCTGCAGAGAGCAAGTTCGAAAATGCATTTTAACAAGGTCACGAATGGCAGGCCTCTTTGCCTGCTAATTGCATTTAATATTGGGAAACAGAAGATTATGAGTCATTAAGAGTTTATTCCTAAGCTAATTATAGCAGCCAGCTGGATTTTAGCCAGCTGTTCTGGTGCCTTAGCTTTCTCTTCCATTAACTATGTGAGCTTCTCCTGTAGTTTTATACGCAGCTATGACATTAAAGCTGAGGAGACACATTGTATATGCATGTGTTCTTAATGGATTTATCAAAATTCCCTGTGCAAGTTAGCTTCTCAGCTAGAACATTTCCATGGACAAATATGATGAGGCTTCTTCTCTCAGTGTTGATGTTACGGCGGTCTTTTGCTCACCCTACTGATTCGTTTACAGCAGTGTTTCTCAACACAGTCCTCGGGGGGGCCCCCAGTCAGTCCGCACGAAATAGTCAAGAAACACCAAATACCTGCCACAGGTATGTTGGGAGCTGGGAGGGAGCGAAAAACGTGGACTGTCTCTGAGGGCTGGGTTGAGAAACACCAGTTTACAGCGTGATGGTAAAAAGGGGGATTGATGAACGGAGGGAAGTAGTTGTTTGAAGGTAGGAAGATGAGAAATTACTTTCACACATGAGCAGGAAGTGGTGTGAAAGGATCTTGCGTGCTATGGGGTCTCCGCTGACCCCGGCCCGCCCTTGGGGATGCTAGCCGTCGCAGAATAAATGCACTCCCCTTCTAACGGAGCCCAAATCTGACACCAGCACCACTTTAACCAGGGCCTGGGCTATTTCATAAGGTGATTAATTTGGCAGTGAATCATCTTCCGCTGATATGATCATGATGCTTTTGCTTGAGTCCCAACTGTGGGCCGGTGGGGTGGTTGACGAATGAGTTCCGTTCAGGGGTTCTGGGAGCTGGGGCATTAACCAGTGTCAGTGGGAGACTTGGCCCAAATGCTTTCTTGTACCAACCCATTTGACTCGCTTCTTATGAAAGTGATGCAAGTCAGATATGAATTTGCTAATCTTCTAATTAAGTCGGAATTTGATTTTTTTTCTGTGCAATTTTTTAATATATATTTCACAGCCTCAGTGCAAATTCTCTCAGAAGTCTTGATCATGGGAATAGCAACAATCTTTCAGGGAAATGTGCATTAATACTTGCATTTAACCAGTTCAGTATGGGTTTCAAAGGACAAAACTGGCTCATTTAGATTCTGAAACGGTATAATTAAATCGTCATGCACCAGGTATTCATCTTTCTTCCCA